TTGTTGCGTTGGGGAAATTCAAGTCTCCTTGGAAAGCTTTATGCAAGTTGTGTTTTCGTGAAGCGGTATTTATATAAACGATTTTTTGGACTGGTTCTTTGTCACTTCTTTTGGATGGGTTTTAATATGCCTGTGAGTTGCGAAATATGCAAAATATTTGTCTCGCGGATTGAATCATATTAATCTTGCGGATGCTTATTTTTCTCTTCCTCTGAAATTTAGGTTTTGTGATTATCCTATAATTAGTAAATCGTGCCCATTTACTCCGTGTGTAAGTGTTGTAAGACGACTAACAATCATGAATGTTCTATATTGCCTTGCGGACGATGAAATTCATACTTGCGGGAAACATAGAAATTTCGTCATATCAGAAGCAACGATCAAGTTTCCTAAATCGAAAATGTCTGTTTTTTTTTTATTGAAGTCCCATAAGCTGTGTTGTTCTCTTTTCAAGGAATTTTTTTTCAATGATGCAGTTGGACTCGCAACTTTCCACGGCACTCTGATCCACCATGACTTTTGCTATGCAAAAATTAATTTCTTTCTCATGTTTTGAGGTTTCTTGACCATAAAATTATTTCTATGAGTAAATTTTGTGAGAGAAAAAGGTGCTAATCTCGCATAATTCTTCGTGATGATTAGTCTTTAAAATGTGTTGTAAGTTTTTTTAGCATTACATGTATTCTATTCGCTGTTTCACTCACGTGCAGTACTGAACTTTTTTTTTTTACAATTTATGTTCAATAATTAATAATTCGTCGTACTGAAATGTTCCCCGTGATAGCTGTTATTTTTAAAGCATGTATTATTCTTGGAAGAATGTTAATACCTATTCAAGCTTTACACCGATAGGTCATGGTGACATTCAAGTGATGGAAAAGATTCCAAGTGCATAATTACAGTATAACTTATTTAAGCCACTGCTGCTGCATAAAATGCATTCCAATATTACAAATTCATATCACAATTTGGCAGCAGGTGTTCATATGCTTTAGCATCTCCTGCTAGAATCTTTAAATTAAAAATGTCGATACGCGGGTTCAAATGCATGCAGATTTTCCCGTTGCAAAAACTCTCGTGACAGGAATCATAATTAATTTCCCGACATAAACATGCTGTCAGCAAGAAGTTGCCTATTATATAAACGATTTTATTTGAAACATAAGATGGCTGGTATCTGATCATCAAGATAAGGAGAACCTTTTGAAGATTCTAATCGCCTCAATCCTGAAAACAAATTAAAGACGACGGCATAGGGAATTCGAATGGTTTTGTTCAAGTATCGAGGAGCAATTTCGCTAATTTAACCACTATTTCAATAGTTTTTTTCTGTGCTGTTCACTGAAACAAGTTCCGTTTATTGCTGCACAATAATACCTGTACCCAGAAATGAACATTTTCGTGTCATTCTAAAGTTGGAAAATTTTGTGTATCGCAGTCGTCATCGTCACATATACTGTATATTTTGTGGGACGAAATACTCTCTTCTTATTGAGTAGACTTCAGCATCAGTGACGCGAAGACGATACTTCTGAATGTTCTGTGCTTGTGGAAATGTGTGTGAGTGTGTGTGTGTCTGCATCATCTGAAATGGCGGGTATTTTTAAACCTCACTTCCTCTCTCTCTCCAAGTTTCACACCCTCTTCCTGTGTGTTCCCATCACTTCCTTCCACCATCACAGATCCGCGACTGTACAGTCTCTCGTCGTCGGAAGATGCGTTCCGCGAATGGCTGAGACCCCGTGATGTGTGAAAGCTCGGTCTGAAGATTTCTCCGCGTTTCAATTCCGCGAGTGATGTGTGCATCATGAAGAAGTGACGTAATTTATCAAGTATTCAAGTGTGGATTGCATTCGTGAAATGGAGTCCAATAGAACGCCGAGAAGAGTCGCTTTCGTGTACCAGTCCAGCGCGGGTCCGTACACAAGTGACCAGTTGATTGCCCGCAGCGTCGAAATGTCGGCTTCGCAAATCAACGCGGAGTTTTGCGGACTCGGGTTGGCCACCATTTTCCCGGAAGCTGGGATCCTGGATGCCTGCGCTTTGCTAGAGGGAGTGCAGCACGTGTTGCAGAAATTTTGCGTGATGCGGGCGAGTCGGGACGAACTGGATGATCGTATCGGCAAATTGTGCGCGGAACTGAGTCACAGTAGGTCCATTTCCGGACAGCTCATGCATGAGGTGGAGAAGCTCAAGAAGGAGAATGGGATTGTTTCTGAAAAAGCCAGGTGAACGAAGAGAACAATTAGGCGTGATACGATGAACAAGATTTGGCACTAATATATTTTATGCATGGTAATTTCCCTGAAATCAAGGCCTCTCAAAAATATCGCGCAGGACGCAATTTGAAGTTCAAAGTGCTGCAAATTACTGTATTGGTGCGCCGAATTTTTATTTTGAAAAATACGCAGGAGTACTACATTTTGAATTTAGATTCATCTGCTCAATATAAAAATATCGCGCAGGACGCAATTTGAAGTTCAAAGTGCTGCAAATTACTGTATTGGTGCGCCGAATTTTTATTTTGAAAAATACGCAGGAGTACTACATTTTGAATTTAGATTCATCTGCTCAATATGTCAAGTTTAGATAGGGATACAATTGCAGTACAGTATTGCACATTGTGATTCACATTTAATAAAGAAGAAGCATTTTGGAGGTTATGCATGAAATTCGCAGTTTGTGACTATATATGGTCCGTGCTGAGGATGACTAATACATATACTGTACTACAGCTCTGAGTAAAGTTTTAAAAGCTCATATACTTTTCAGAAGGAATAAAACAAACTAACTATTTTGGGTTTGTGATCAACTAAATTAATCAAGATTTCAGAAATAATGTATAGTCATAAGTCTATAACCTGAATCAATCCATGTTGGTCATTTCACATTATTTTTCTTTTGGATGCTCAGATTTTTTCAACATCCTCATCCGTACTCGAAATTTATCTTTAAAATCTTGAAAATATTTTTGTTTAGACAACCTAAACTTGGATTACTTCCTATGATGTTAAGGTATATAGCACAGCACCTTTACTGAAGTACCACTTGGAACTTATTCTTATTCGTAGGTGAAGCTCAATGAAAGGGCTGCAAACCATACCCTGGTGTCCGGTGTATAATTTTATTTTTAAATTTTTAAATCATTAAATATGTGGAGCATGTCATATATTATACTTCCATCAAATTCAGACATGGTTT